CTGAACTGTGTACAATAAGCTCCATTGTCTCATCTCCCACAGCCTGACACTGAAATAACAGATGTCCGAATGCTGGTGTCGGACCCGAGCCTTTTCTTCGACTTTTCATGTTTAAACAATATGATCTGCTGCTTTGACAGCGATTAAAATCAAGACTTTGGTTTGGATTGTGGCCGCCACGCTTTGGATGCACATGAGCTCTGATGGGAACATGATATATAAAGTTAAAACAGAAAACATCGTAAATATGTCCTTCTGCGTTGCTCATTAGTCAACAGAAAATGCAAATTTGACCTTTCACCTATAGATTAGTTTTTTTTTCTACAGCTCCAGTCAAAATGCCTTCAATACGACCTAATTCAAACTTCTTTTATAAGCAATCAGGGTTCATATTCTTTTGCAATTTTATTGTAAATTTTGTCAATAAAATTGGACTCTCAATTGGAGACTGTATTATGTTTTTGATCGTTTTTAGTTTTGTGTTTTTATGATGTAAAATACTTTGAACTGGCTCTTTGCTTAAATGTACTGTTAAGATTATCTATGTAACATTTATTTAACCAGGAATGTCTCACTGAGATTAAAAATGTCATATTCAAGAGAGACCTGGGTAAGACTGGCAGCAACACACCAACAACTACAAATCGCAAAGCCCAATTAAAATACATTATTATTAATAAAAGAAGAAAGATAACGAAGAACAAACACAGGCGAAACACAGGACTAAAATACAACAAACTTGACTGAATGAAAGAAACGGCATGGAAAAGGAACAGTTTCATCAATATCTGTTGTAAAAAAGTGCTAGATAGATTTTTTGGAAAATATAAACATATACATTTCAAAATAATTTTCAAGTGAAGTACGTTTGCCATACATTGAATAATACTACATCTTTGCATATATTAATCATATTTATCAAGTTTATTTGATAAACTTCAAATTCTTAATCATTACCAATACATTTTCCCATATAATTTGTTATACATGATAGTGGATATTTCTAAAAATAAAGGTACATATATTTTGGGATTTATTATACGATATATTACAAAGTATGGAAAGCAGCAGTTCATTTTTGTCTATATTTTAATATATCACTTGATTATATAGATACATAAATTTTAATACATATTTTGTATGTAAAAAAAATTATAGAGAAAATAATATATCAGAATATATTTCATTACATTTCCAGTAAGTCATTGGTAAATATATTCTCTTTTTGTAAGAGAATATTTCCTTCCTTGGAGTCTCTCAAAACATCAACAACATTTCTACTAATCCTCTAACACGTTAATTCTGTAAAAAAATCTTTTATGTCAAAGTTTGGTGGTTTTTAAAGTTCATATGTTATATTTTAATAAAGATTAAAAAAAACAAAACAATTATTTAATTTACTCTCTCCGTTACTTTAAAGCTCCTCAAATCACATCATGTAAACCAGATCAGTGACATTCACATGACCTTGAATCGTAAAAACATTCCTCCATGTTTGTGTTTGAGTTTTTACCCCGGCTCCTGAGGGCCGCGGCTCCTCGTTCTGGGCGCTGACAATCGCAGAGTGTTTTCGTACTGAGACGTCTTGGAGGAAGGATGCCTGGTCTTCCTGAAGACGCTCGCCTCTTCCTCCTCATGTTTCCTGTAGGAAAATGGAAGCCATTATATGTTGTACATCTCAGACAAAAGAACGAGAAGGAAGAAGGTGGAGGCAGACAGAACAATGGTGGAATGTAACTCCTGGTTTAATGTTGGATGCATGAGTGGAAAACCACCTGAAGGCAGGAAATATTGACATTTTCATAAACAGCAAGAACTACATCATGGCACATGATGTGAAAATTCTCATTAACTCAAATAAGAACTTATTTTAATCATAAAGCCTTTACAAAACAATTGTTATGTATGTTTTAATGCAAAATCTATATAGAACAGCTACAACTCCTCAAAGACATAAATTATACCAAGTAATTTATTTGTAGTTTGCAGTGTAAATATCTTAGTACACTTAAAATAAGAGAAAAATAACTTACAAATAAACTTTCAGCAAGAAACATGAGCTTGTTTTCAGTAAATATTTTGTTAATATTCATAAAAAACTAATTATTTCACTTATAACACAGGGAAAATGTGATGCATCTCCGACTTTTAGCAAACAGAGCTTTATAAATAAGTCTCAGCAGAAAAAAAACCCTCTAAATGTTTTCATCTCCACGCCAAACCAGCTGAACTCTCCTATTATCTTCTGCTCCAGTATAATTATCATTATCAGGGGTCCTTCCTGTGTGGGCCTCTGATTAAATTATGCTGAATATCACTGAGGCAGAGAAACAACAAACTCTACCTACAATCCTCACTTATCACTGTCTGGTTTAGCCTGACAGCTCTCCGGGGAGTTTACCTCCAACCTGGCGTCGGTCCTGAACATCACTTTGCAGCCTCTTACATCCACTTTGTGAAAAACTCCCCACACAAATATGTTGATTTACCGTGACATTGAAAGCCTGTCAGCAAAACACACGCAGTCTTTCCTTTCTATCGCTTTCCAGACAGTCATCAATAATGCTGCAGGTGCCATGCTTGCCTCCGGGGGTTCTCCCTTGCTGAGAAGTCTCTTTTGTGTTGGGCCAGGTATTGAATTCTTGCAGTCGGAGTAGCTTTGAGCGCGGCAGTGGAGATGGGCCGTATCAGTTCCTGGTTGCCCCAGCTCACTTCACTAATCAATAGAGGGACAAAGTTTCCAACACAGCTATAAAGTTTTCAAAATGCACCTGTCATCAAAAATCACATTTCATACACTTTTATACTTCCATTTATATTCCTCAAAAAAGTATAAGCGCATTAAAAAAAAATCACTGTTGAATTTTGGCAACCCATTGATAATTTTTGGTCTCTTGAAAACAATTTTCAAAATCCTCCTGATTGTGGAGTCAGAGCGCTGTTTCCTTGCAACCCCAGCAAAGATCCAGCACATTTTTTTTAAACTGGTTTTGCCACTGTAGGTGTTTTGTTGTTGACTCAACATCCAGAAGCCTCTTGCTGCAGTCTTGTTGGTTGTGCAGGAGGCTGAATTTATGCTTTTCAAATATGTGTAGTTGTAAAATGCGTACCTGTTTACAGGTGCGCATTTTCACAGATGAATGTAAATGTTGAGTCATAGGTTTGTGATTATCAGCTGATTATTTGAATTTAAAGCAACAGAGGCTCTAAAACAGCTCATTAAGAAAGGAGCTCAAAATAAGCAGAACTGAGAAGACTAAAATCTTACTCAGAATCATTTTATTGATGAAAAGTGGAAAAGTTAGTTTTGTCTTATTTCTAGTGTACTCAGAAGTAGACCAAAAATACTTAAGATTTAGAATTTTTGCAATGAAACACAGCTATAAAGTTAATATAAACTACAGGAGGAAGACATTTTACATTTTAAATCTAAAAGAATGGTTAAGTTAGTTTCTATCAATGACCAGACTGAGTTTAGTTTTTTTCTGGATTCAGTTTCAGGTTGGATTAGACTGAATGTCTCAAAGCCGAACATTTTTAAGCTCTTAACCATTTCTGCAGAGGTCAGTGTGGGGCTTTCTGTGGTTTCAGGAAAGAAAAGCTCGAGCTGCTCACCAAGGAGTCGTCTCCCAGACTGTTTTTGAGGTTTTATGCTGCGCCAGCTCCAAGATTCTGCCAAATCACACACAATCCACAAGACATGCATTCACGTTAAATATGAGGGGAATTCAAGGGAATCTAGGATCAGATTCAACATGCAATCACCACCATAACTACAGCCGATATTAAAACTCATGAGAAACTCAGACACATGAACGATAAAACAGCAGCACCTCTTTGCCGGACCAAATCTTGGCTGGACACCTGGAGATTTCAATGCATCAGAATTATCAAACTGAATTGATTTGAAGATGCAACGGGGAATCCGTAAACTTACCTTGTTTTCCGGACACCATTTTCACCGTCTCTGGTGGACATGTCACAATAATCTGCTGCTGCTGCTATGGAGCCATGAGTCCCCAGCAACCAGCTGATGAGTCCTTGAAACTGGAGTCTGCTTTGTTACCGTCTCAGGATGTTGAAAGTGATACAAATGGGTCAGCGAGCAAAGAAGGATGATCTTCTCTTACTGACTCAAGACTTCATTTTAACATGACTGAACATCTGTACCTAAAGTTTGCATCCATTCTAAGATGCCAAATAAAAAATACATACTTTCAGCACCTTGTCTGATAACTTTGAATAAATACAAAATGTAGTTTTTAAATGATTTAATTTACTGAAGGAAAAAAAAAGCTAGCCAAACCAACCTGGTTGTAATCGCAAAAAAAAAAAAAAAAAATCATAACTCACATTAATTAACTAGAAGCCTGATTAACATCCAGATCTGATTTTACCATAACTGTAGAATTAAGAAACCTATTAAACATGAAGTCAAGAAAAGATCCAAATAAAAAATAAACAGATGTAAAAGTCTTTAGCATCTATCATTCAACAAAGTTATTAATAAGGAACATGATGATCCTGAAGACTTTTGGCAAAAGTGAAACTTTCTAAAAATTGTGTGACTTGTTAAATTTGATGTAAATCATTTCAGAAACTGAGCATTATTAGAACAATATCAAACGTGTGTTATGTTCGATTGAAGGTAGTTATTAGATTTTACAAAAGGGTCAGTTTTTAAACCAATAAAAATTCAAGAAATTAAGCTATGTGGGTACAACAAACTTTCTCTCGTGTTTCATCTTTTCTTGCTACCTGCTGAAAATTTCCATTTTATGTAATGAACAATAAAATGTTGTCTTGTGTGAAACTTTTGACCATAAATGCAAAATGTTTGCTTCTCTTTGTAAGCTGAAAATAAAAATGTATTCCCAATTTATCACAAAATGAGGTTGCAATATTCCCATTATGAAATGTCAGGATGTCATAGTAATCTATAAATGTGTCCTGCTGAAAGGAAAAAGTTAGTTATTTTATTAGTTTTTTCACACTGAAGGTAGAAGCCAGGAATTATTCAGCTTTATTTTCCATGTGGGTAATTTTTACATTACTCATATGTCATCCAAAAATAAACCAGAAAGTTTTGCAAAAAATGTATTTTAAGTGCAAAAAAGAAGAGTATTGAACAAATATGTATTTTTTTAATTGAACCTTTCAGTATACCTCAGCTTTATGAAACATTGGTAAACCAAGAGAACTAAACAGATTTCCACAGAATTAATAAAAAAGGAAAAGAAACAGAAAATAAAATGGGTAAAATAGAAACATCCACCTGCTTAAGAGCTTAGAAAAACAAATCCCATCAACTTATGGTCAAAATAAACATTTCAAACAGAACACAGTTTTTACACAGTAAAATAGAATAGTGGTGTGTAGTGTTTCTGCTGCAGGGTTTTAATTTGAAATCAACAGAAAAGTTTAAATATAAATGAATCGACTCATTGGCGGCTCCAAGTGGCTGAAAAACGTAAATACCAATATTTGAACAGTAACCAAATATTATTTTGGTCACATGAGTAAAACAAAAAGTGCAGATTTACTGTTTCCCTCCAAGAGTTTAATGTGTTTATTTTCCTGTCTGTCATTTATTCTTTTCTTAAAGCACATTAATTAAGAAAAATAAATGTTTTAAAGCTTTAAAACAACTAAAGCATGTACCAAAGTCGCCATGAACTTAAAACCTTTGATGTCCCCACTCTTCTTTAAATAAGAATGCAAATGAAAAAAATAAATAAAGGATTTGTTGCATTGGATCAGCAACCAGAAACCACCTGGAAGATCAGGTCCCGAGCATCATGGACCCCTGAGCTGAGCTCCGAGTCGCCCTTCCTCACATAGGTACCGATGAGGTACAGCCGGCGGTCCCCGGCTTCAGACAGGGACAGAGCGTCATGGAGATCAGTGATGTTGCAGGATGTGGGAAGATCCTGGAATCAGAAAAAAAATAATGACACATGGCTCCAAATAAATGAAGCAGCTTTTTTGATTTCATTAGCAGTAAAACTCATAGTTAGCTTTTAATTTTTATTAAAAGAGGACCTTTTATGCAGCGGTTCCACATGTTTGTAATTCCATTTGGATTTCTAAAGCTTCTAAAAACAAAAATACCTAGTCGTTTTTGGACAATAAGTTGAAAACAACTTGTTTCAGAAACCTTCAGAATGTAACAAATCAGCAGGCACCGCCAGTTACCTAGTAACTCAAGCTGAGCTCCAGTCCGTTTGTTCATCTGGCTGTAAGCATATGAGCTGTGCAATGGCTGCTGGAAAAGCCAACAGTTTTGTTGCTGACTTACAATCCAGAAACCACTTGTAGCTTTCTTATTGGTTGTACGGGAGGCTCCCCTTCTGCTTTTCAAAGATGTAAGGTTCTATAATTATGCAACTGTTTGCAGCTATTTTCACATGCAAATGTTAGGGGGCGTACCCAGAAGCAGCTTATCTGGATTTAAAGTGACAAGAGGCCCTAAAACGGCAACATCATATTAGGGCCATTGTAAATTTCGCCAAAAATTATATAAATTGAGATTAATATGAGAAATCTTCTCAAAAATACTTGGGAATTTTCTGAGCTTGTTAAAGTCAAAAACTGAAGAAGTTGAAAATTAAAATTTTTAGTTTTTCCCTTTGCAAATGTTCGACTATCAGAACTCAGAACTTGTTTCCAAAACAATTCTGAGATTAACCTCAAGTTTTCTTTTTTTTGGTAGACATTTGCTCCCTTTATCCATCTACAATGGCCCTGATATGCAGACGTACTAAAGCAGGAGTTCAAAATAGGCAGAACTGACTTAACTAAAATCTGATCATCAAATAATTTTGTGCAAAAAATTTAACAAACATGTTTTGTATCGCTCACAGATCTATTCTAACCTGTTCAAGCTAATATAGGAGGTCACCTTTAAAATCTGTGACATCCAGGATCGCCTTTTCTTCTCACCTGTTTGTTGGCCAGCACCATTAAAGGCAGGCGGGGGTGAAGGGCCAGCAGATCGTGTAAATGTGTCTTGGTGACTGGAAAAAGCTCCGGGTTGGCGGAGTCGACCACAAACACCAGCAGCAGAGCTTTGGGCATGTACTTCCCCCAGTACGGCCGCAGATTCTCCCCACCACCGACTGAAACAGACACAAACCGAGCTTAATTCAAAAGAAAATTCAGAAAAGAAAAATAAATCAGTGAAAACGTCTCGGGGCATTTTAAATCTCTGCGTCGAGGAAAAGCCGATAAGTTCAGACTCACTTTCTAGAAACTCGATGTCCATGTCATCTTTGCTGATGGAGATGGCGTTCAGGCCCTGCGTCGGCTCCACGTCCTGCTCCAGACTGCCGCTGGAAAAACAGTGCAGGAGGCTCGATTTTCCGGCTCCGTCCAGACCCAGGACCAGAACCTGGGTTCGCTCTGACTGCACTGGATGGGTCTGGAACACAAAACACAGCTGTAGCAACACTTTGAAGGAATGCAAAAGACGAGTTTAAGCATGACTGAGTCCTGCATTATTAAAGAAATCAAATCTGTACAAGTGGGGAGAGAAAATGAGCTGAAGGATGGAGGATGTGTGGCAGAAAAATTAAAACAGATGTTTAAGATTTTGAACAATTATTGTTAATTGAAGAATTATGGATCTTATAATTAGAGTGAGGAGTCAGAATAATTATTTTTATTTGTTACATTTTGGTTGAAGTTGTCTTGTAAACACTGACAATATTTGTTTCTTTTTTTCATCCATCCATTTTCTTCTGCTTTATCTGGGGTCGGATCTCGGGGGTAACAACTTCAGAAGGGAGGCCCAGACTTCCCTCTCCCCAGCCACTTCTTCCAGCTCCTCAGGGGGAATCGCAAGGCGTTCCCAGGCCAGCCCAGAAACATAGTCCCTCCAGCGTGTCCTGGGTCTTCTCCGGAGTCTCTTACCGGTGGGATGTGCCTCTCAAGGGAGGCGTCCAGGATGCATCCTGACCAGATGCCCAAGCAACTTCAACTGGCTCCTTTTGATGTGAAGGAGCAGCGGCTCTACTCAGAGTCCCCCATTCTCTCTCTAAAGGAGAGCGCAGACCCTCTACAGAGAAAACCCACTTCGGCAGCTTGTATCCGCCTTAGATGAGTGTAGATCGACCAGTAAATCAAGAACTTGGATTTTTGGCTCAGCTCTCTCCCACAGGGCTCCCCGAGGGTCAAATGCCTTCTCCACGTCCACAAAACACATGTAGACCGGTTGGGCGAACTCCCATGCACCCTCCAGGAGGGTGTAGAGCTGGTCCAGTGTTCCACGACCAGGACGAAAAACACACTGCTCTTCCTGAATCCGAGGTTCGACTATCTGACGGGCCCTCCACTCCAGGACCCCTGAATTGATCATTTTTCTTTTTATGCTTAATTATTTTTACTGACTTCCTCTTGACATTTTTGAATGAACTCTCATTTGAAACAAAAAAAAAAAACAGTAATTTTTAAATTGTTTGAAAAACATGCATAATGAAGTAAATATAAATCAAAATTGTCCCAACAAAGGCAAAAATCTTCATTCTTCAAAAGGATTTTGTTTTACTTCTTCTGACCATGTTCCCAAAAGTATTTACTCCTCCCTACAGCAATTTAAATTCATGTGGGTCATGTACAGTGAATTTCAGCAGGAAACACTTTCAGTTGTTGACAAGTTCTGCTAATCCCACTCATTTGCCTTTGCCGCTCCATTAAATCTCTTCCTGGTTGTATTGTTAGAAGGTTGGGCAGATAGATGTTGGAGTAGAGGATATGATCAATGAGCGATGGAAGAGATGATCTGAATTTCCTCCTATCTCAGCATCCATAAAGCTTTTTTTTTTTTTACACTTCTTTGGAATTTGGGGTCATAGTTCAAATTTATTTTAGAGTAGATGCTCCAAGTAATAAAAACAAAAAATATTAACAAAGATTATAAAACTAATTTCTCCAACAGGCTGCCAACATTACCCGATAAATATTACATTTTAATAGATGGATATGCATTTAGTAACTAGTTAACAAACCATTGATAAATAATGAAATACATTTCCCAGAATACAACTCACCTCAACTTCCAGAGAACGTGCTCCAGCATGTCGTTACAATATGGAGGTTTAAAATTAAAAACTAAAACTGCGCTATGATCTTGGAGGTCGTATTACCAAGTAGAAATATTTCTCAAGTTATCTGGAATAAGTATTTCTAACTCCTTAACCCTCAACAGTTAGAAAAACTCACTTTTGCCGTTGCTGTTGTCGCCGCTTGAGCGGGAACAACAATTTCTTTAGCTGGAGCTTCCGTCTCCTTTTCCACTTTCACCTTTTCCCTGCCGCTGCTGCCATCCTCTCCCGGTAGAGAGTCGAGCTTGGTCTGCTTGCGGGATGAACCGCAGCTCCAGATGAAATAAGCGACTCCGCCTGCAAGAACGGCGGAGGCGCCGAGGATTCCGGCGTTCCTCAGACCGGGCATGACGCTCAACTGTCGGCTTAACCGCTGCGGAGTGGGCGCCGGTTACCGTGAGAAGAAGACATTATCTAAATAACAAAAAAAAAAAAAAAAAAAAACGGAGTTGGTCTGTGCTACTCAATGCGACACTTCTCTTCAACAAGTGGATTAAGTCACAGGAAGCTCCGGATGAACTTCTCCATGCCATATATCCGGGTGAAACGGCTTGTTGATGCAGTTTCAAGATGTGACCGCCAGGTGGAGCAAATGTGTTTACAGATGAAGTAAAACAACAGAGGCCGCTGCTGCTGTTCCTGATTTGAGATACAATTATGTTGAAACAGTGCATAAGCTTGTAATAAATCCGTTAATACATTTCTGGCGTTTAAAAAAATCCAGATAAGATTCATAATCCTGTGACTCAGAATTTTTTAGTTTAACATCTAGCCATCAAGTTCTTAAATGTTTTTTTTAACAGTCATTTTCCCCATTGATCCATTTTTTTGCAGCCAATTTTCTGAAGAGTAAACAGCTTGGTTCATAGATTTGCAACTTATTAACCTTGTTTTTATTTACTTATAAAAATCAACGCAAAGCCTTTAACTTGTCACTCAATGTTTCATCAACAATTCTTAATAGTATTTAGCAACAAAAAAAAAATCAAAGTGCTACAAACTTTCTTAAAGTATTCCTTGAAAACTAACAGAACAGTTTTAGAGTTCAGGGTTATCCCGCCTCCTCCTTCACTTTGTACTCTGTGCCCACTGCAGCCTGGCTCATCTTCCTCAGAGGAACCCCATGTTGCTGCTCAGGGGTGCTCAGCAGCCAGATCTTTGTGTTGCTTTTCTCGTCCGTCCTTCCCAGGTTCTGCCAGGTTCGGGCCCTCAGAGAGGTATGCGTCTTTCTGCTTGGAGGTTTCTGGACCTGCTCCCCATCTGAACTGGAAGAGTCCACCTTCTCCACTTCTCTGTGTCTCCTGGACTTGGATGTGGCATGGACATGGCTGTAGCTCTTCTGCTTGATAGAGGAGAGAAGCCTGGCTCTGCTGCTGCAGTCTTCCTCCGGATCTTTATGGACTTCACCTCCAACATTTTTCTCTTTGGGTGAAGCACTCTGCTGCTGCCAGGAGAAGAACTCATTCATACACTGTTTTAGGCGGGAAGTGAAGTCCGGATGAGTCATACTGACATCAACACGGACTTGCATGGCCTCCTTCAGCTTCTCATAGTGACTCTGGATCTCGGCCATTTCTTCCCAGATCTCTGCCGAGCGGAGCTCCTGCAAGGCCGACGCTTTGCAGAGGAACTCCTTGCATTGAACTTCCGGTTTAGTCTTCTGCTTCTGGAAGGTCAGAAAATGCGGCATGGCCGTGTAGTGGAAAGCTTGAGTCGCAGCAAGCTTGTGATAGATGTAGAGAACATCATGATGCTCTGCCTCCTCAGACTCCGTGAGAAACCTCTGAACGTGGATCCAATCCTTCAGAGCCAGCCTGATCTGGGCGGGTGAGGAGGCCGGCTGCGTGTGGTAGAAGGAGAACATCAGATACAAACCTCCCACCCGGATATGGAAGCTGTGTGGAGGCAAGAAGTACTTCACAGCTGTGGCCAGAGCGACCCGGCAGAACCTCTTCATCTCAGAGTTTTTGGTGGTACCGAGGAAGACGTCGGAAAACTTCATGTCCCTCCAGATGGCCGAGAAAACGCCATACCTGACCGAGCCCGTGCACTGGAAGCGGGACAGCAGCTCCTCCACGTCCTCGGTCAGCGGTTCGTGGAAGAAATCCGTGTAGAAAGATGGCATCGTGTCCAGAGAAACTCCACGACACAAGTCAAACCAGTCACCTGGTCCAACTAATGAGGCAGGTGTTTCTTATTAGAGGAGAGGAAAGGAGTCACATGACTTGGACTCGACTCATTAAAATCAAGACTTGACTTGAAGCTGTTTACTTGAAAAGACTTGATATTTTACTCAAAGTCTTACAATTTAAAACACATTATTTTTAAAGTGGCCCCATTAATCAATTCCACTCATTCCGCGTCAACAAGCGCAGACCGTCCCTGTTTTTTCTGTGTACGTCATCTGCAGCATAACCAATCAAATTAACAGGATTTAAAAATAACCAGACGAAAAATCAAAGCAGATATGCTACTGTTGAGTAATTTCTTTTTGGTCTGTCAATCATGAAATATCCAACTAAACACGGAGTGAAACATGCAAAACCTGCAAGACCAGGATCTCAGATCAACTTCCAACTGGGCGGCATTTGAAGTTGCACAAAGAGGTAAAGCTATAGTTTTCTTCATTGTCTCTATTTGGAAGTGTTTAGGTTGATTGAACCTGATAAGTTTTTCAAAATCAATTTGATGTAATATGTATGATCTGAGACAGAGCTCAGGGTTCCCCTTCTCTGTTAGCCATAGTCATAAAAGTATTTCACTATGTAAAATAAATTTAGTTTCACGTTTTAAAGTGAGAAAATTGTAACTTTTTTCATGTTTTTTAAAAATATAAAGTTGTATATGAATGCATTTCTGGAGGAAAACAAAAATGTTTAAAACAAAAGCAAACAGACTCTTCGTTCAGAGATTTATTAAGACTTAACAAAATGGACGCCTGTTGGGCCAAAATAGTCATGTTTTAGCATGCAAGTGAATGATTAGTTATTATCCACTGCAACACTTTAAAAAAACAAAACATGCTTCCCTGCAGCAGAGTGAATTTGAAGAGATACATGAAGAAACAAATTGTGTGTGTGAAATCGCTAAGAATAACAGTGAAATAAAAACCACAGCTTTTTGTGTGGAAATAAATCTTTCTTTGAGCTTCCAGACATTAAATGGCTCTTAGTAATAGTTAAAAACAAACAAAAAAACAGCAAAAACAATTTTACGGTTATCAAAGTGACAGTTAAGGTCCATTCTGACTTTTTCTGAAGCTGTAAAATACAGTTCATCTTTCTTACAGGGTTAGAAAAATACCATCCATTGCAGTCAATGCAAATATACAGTTCTGCTGTTTGTAGTTTACTTGTTCTGAGCTAAACAAAAGCATAAACACTGTTTCCAAACAATAAAAAGCATTTTTACTGAGTGTCCTTTAATTACTCACTGTAATTTCATCATCTATCATCAAAATAAGATACAGCTGCAGGAGAGCAAAGAGCAAGTTTTGGTTGCACATCTGGATAAATTACCAGAAAAGAGGGGAAAAAAAACTAAATAGCTTGAAATGAAAACCTCCAGACATCTCTCTGTTGTTCGCAAACATCAATACCAGCCTCCTTTGCCGCCCTTCTTCTTCTTCTGTGGTGCCTTTTTGCGTGTGGCTCCAGATGAAGGCTTCTGCTGTCGTGGAGGGACCACGCCGCTGCCGCTGGGGGCTGTGGACGAGCCGGTCGCCGACCCGGGTCTGGGAGATGTCGGGGGGCTAGTGGCGGTTTTACTGGCATCACTGGAAAAAAAAAGAAGATCCGCACTGTGGTCAGACAGAGGTCACACAGACTGAAAGGTCTGACCTCCAGACGGCCAACAGGATTAGTGGCTTTGCACTGTAATCTAAGGTTCAGCACCTCAGATTAGTTCTGCTTTAGGTAACCTTTTAATGAAAAGCACCAAAAGCCCTTAAATGTTCCAAAACAAAGCAAATCAAAAAGACACTGAACATGCAGACAGGAGGGTAAAAGTAAAAATATTTTCGATTTTTTTGTTTATATAAGTTTTAAGGTGTGGATAACTTCTAGATTAACTTACCTGAAATGATTTATTTAATGATAATTTCTTATTTAGTGTAAGAAGATTCAGACCAGAGCTACATTATAAAAGGTCTAAACAGCAGACAGAACCTCCAGGAGTTCTGCTTCTGTTTTATAAAACGGTATGCAGGTTCATTCACTCACAGCTCGGCTGAAGCTGCTGCTGTCGTTCCCTGTGTGCCTTTTCCTATCGCCTCCTTCTTCTTCCCCTTCTTCTTGCCTCTGTAGTAGGAGCGCTCCCTCATCGGAAGCCACCTCTCCGGGTCTGCCGTCGCTTTGGGATCGTAATTTTTTGGAAGTTTGCCTAAAAGAAAACAAAAACAAAAAAAAATAATGTGGGATCGGTTCTGTCTTCAAAAGAAGTGGGAAACATGGATATCAGCATACCTTTCTTCTTTTTCTTCTTCTTTTTGACCTCACCTTGGCTGAAAGAAAAATAAATGATCAGTATTTACAGATTATTACAAATCAAGAATTACTCTTTGATGTAAAAACTTTACCCAATTTCCTTGGGAAGGCTTTCTCCGACCACTTTGCCAGCTTTTTTCCTGACGTAAGTGGCGCCGTGAGAGTTCTCCAGTTCGTCCACGTCCACGTTGAAGGACATGGTGTCTGCAGATGGCAGGTGCTTGCTCAGACTGGAGACAAACGTTAAAGACGCTCAACAAACCTGTGCTGCAGTGGCTCACTGCAAACCTCAACAAAAACCTTCAGCTTGTTTGACTTGTAACCAGTAAAATTCAAGCACTTTCCAAAACTTGAAAATGGCGAGTTTAATTTCAAGGATTTCAAGCACTGGTACAAATCTTCTACTGTAATCATCATTCCAATGTTTTAATAACTTGTTTCTTTATACTTCTCTACAGCTAGAAAAAATTTAGTACTGACAGAAAAAACAGAAAATTATTATCTTAAGCAGCAAAAACCCATGAATGCTTGATTTTTGTTGTTTACAACATCAGTAAACACGAGTGAAATAACTTTCAAAGGATACGATTTGGCTTTGTCCGTATCCACCAGAGAATAAGCAGAGATCAGTTGTGCCAGCGTGTGAACGTCGTTTGTGTTTTGCCTGTGTTGAAAAGAAGAAACTGTAAGTTTTGTAGCTGTAAAAAACTTACATCTGGAAGTGTTTCTGCAGGACTCACTTCCACAGTTGCTCCAGGTCACTGATGGCTTCTTTTTTACGTCCGTGCTTCAGTTTGAAGTTTGCAGCTTCTCGCACCAGAGCCAGATGTGCAGCAGATCCGGGCTGCGAAGAAGAAGAAGAAAGTCTGCTGAGACTTCTATAAAGCCACTTTACTGTAAACCAACTCAAACATCAAATATCTACAGCCTCCTTCAACATTATCGGCTCACAATCAGAATTTATTTTATTACATTGGGCACGAAGGAAAGTACCGTGAAATTTAAAAAACAGCAACTCTCAAAGGCAAATTAAATAATTGAATAAAATAACTATAAATAAATATATCTCAAAATATAAAAAGTATAGTGGTAA